AAATTTAACATAAAAAATTTTGTAAATTATTTGCAAGGGAACAATCAGCTGTAAAACAAGTCATGACATAATTTCCTTGATTAGCATATTGGTTTCCTTGCTTAAATTATCTTCATTCTTATCTTCATATTTTTGGAGCAAAAAAGACACAGAAAAACGAAGTTTTGTGCGAGATTCCTAGTAGGATGAACATGTGCATCTTTTTCCCCCCTTGTTGCTACACATAGGTATTCTTCCCAACTGCTTTGTTTTTTTAGGACCGAGCTAACTAATTCTCTCAGACAATATTACAAATTTTGTTGAGAAGCGTAGGTTTAATATTAATTAATTCATTAGTATGTTTATGCATGTATATCCTGGGATAAGATATGGACATCATACCCTATATTAATATCTTAACTAAATGCACATTTCCTACAACAAAACGAAAAGAAATTGAGGGCCTCACACAACATCCAAGCAGTTCTACATATATGTTAACTTAATTTCATTTTTTTTAAATATGCGGAGTTATAGACAAACAGACATTCTCCTTTTGGTAAAAAGACAATTAAATATAGTGTATCGGAAACCATTCCTAAAATTAGAATTTCCATAGAGCACATACAACCAAGTTCTTCCGCAAGTAAGGCATCATCTCTTCATAATATTCCCTTTCTTTACAAACTTTGCGAGCGAAACAGCTATTCCATTGGAGTCTCTTCCTTATGCAGTATTCTATAGTCCTGTATTAAATTTCCAGGGCCAGAAAAAGAAATAAGGCACTTTAAAAATGCATTTGAAAAAGAAACCCATTTAAGGATGCTGTTTGGACAGTGATGTCTATGTCAGGTAACTAAATTAAACAATTCATAGAGGCAAGAAAACAAAAGCAATAGATTTAGAAGGACATTAATGACGTTAATCTTACCTTCTATGCTATTCTTCTTTAGGAGAAAGAGTTACTTGAAATCGTTTTGGAAGGTTTTCCCAAGGGCATTCTTCTTTAATAGCTCTCTATAGCAATTGCTCCTCCACTGCCACTGGACCAGGGTGCATTTTCCACTACCCAGATAGCCAGTCTGCCTCTACACTATAAAACATCGTACAGTCACCACAAGTCATAATGGTCATGATCTCACCCCGGAGCTAAGTATTTAACATACAGAATTGATCCCAATTATGCAGAGAATAAGAGTTCCAAAAGTAATCTCATAAAACTTAGCTTCGAATCGTAAGGATCCGAACTAGATTACGCGATTACCAGCTATGCTATGATAGTGACAGGGAATTCACAGAAAGTGAGAGAAATTACATGAACGTTGGTCAAAACTGAAAAAGAGTAACAGACATTTGAGCACCTGATCTTCATTTGAGATGCCGACTTCAGCTAGGGTTTCAAAACTCAAATCCACTGACTCTGTTTCTTCTCCTCTGAAGCAAGGATGAAGATCTTCGCACGAGATCTGCAGAGTGAAATTCGTCAGAGTTCACAGTCGCGTTGCGTTTCGCCGGTCGTTGAACCCGTGGAATTTTATCCGACCCGTTATAGTATTTTACTCTCTGTTTTGAGATTTAACATAACAATATTTATGTTTCAAGATTTTCTTTTGTTTCAAAAAATATTACTAAATAAATTTACTGATCAAATTATGTAATCGTTTAAATATATAACAAGTATTTCTTTTTCTTTTGCCGTCAAATAACAAGTAGTATTTCTTATGTTGGTTTTAATCACCATTCAATGTTATTCATGTTGAAAAAGTTTCAATTTGAATTCAAGATTTGAAATTTAATTTTCATGTAATTAAATTTATTTTGCATTTGGCTAATATTCCCATCATAAAACATTCAAAAGTTTATAACACTTGGGAGAATAATACTACCTTTAATTCTTAATATAAGAGCTAATTGATTAATTTGAGTAGATTAAAAAAACTAATTAAGTTTGTTATTTGTAATAAATAGATATTGTCTTTTCTAAGATATTCTTGCTGATCAAGTGTTATTGGCTAGAACAACTATTTTTATACGGACTACCTTAAAAAATATATATATAAGAGACAAAATAAGTTGGTGTCTTGTGTTTATAATTAAAATAAAGTCAAACAAATTCTTATATTAAGAACTATTTCTTTTGGTCCTAAATGGTAAAGCTAAATAACTAATTTATATATGTCAAACAAATTTATTAAGTTAATTATTTGTAATAAATATGTTTTAATTTTTCAAAAATATCTGTTTAGTCATTATCTCAGGAATAAAAATTCTCTTTAATATGCAGTCAATAACTTTAAAAAATTTATAAATCGTAGAGACAAAAGATATTGAGATATCAATTTAAGATTTAACTCTTACATTTACAACTATGGCAAGAATATTGAAAAACGTCTCTTGCTGTCATTTTTTCTACAATTCTTTGCATCCTCTCACACAAACTTTACAAAAATTAAAAATAAAACAAGCCTTACAAAGAAAGACTCATGTATCCCCAAAAAAAAACACAAAGAAAGAAAAAAAAACTCATACCCTCGGAACCCCTAGTTGTCCAAGTAAGTTGTGCTGAATTAACACCTTAGCTTGTATTTTTTTGGGTCTTCCATTTTTTTTGACCTGAGGGGTTTTCCAATTTAACACCTTATATTCTAAGTATATGCGAATTTTTAAAAGATGTATTGACCACATAATTTGGGACGCCCTTGTATAAAGGCTCGTTGAACAAACCCTCTTTTTAATTATGACCACTTTTTTTTTTGGCCAAAAATTATGACCACTTGATTGTTTGAATTGACTTGGTTGAAGTTTTTTTGAAGGACTTGAAAATTGGGAGGAAAATGAGGGAAAAAAATGTATGAATGAACTTCTATATATATACATCGAAATTTTTTTTTTTCAGAGAAATTGGTGGATTCAAGCACTTATTATACTTTTTTTTTGTCCTCTTTCCTACTTCGCATTTACAATATTTCATTTACCCTTATATTTCAAATGAAATAGTGAAACACAAAACTGGTAAAATAGGGAGCAGAAAAAACTGAAGAGTAAATCTTGTCATCTTTCTTGTCTGGATAGACGTGAGAAAATAGAAAGAAAAAAATAAGCAAATATCTAAATAACTAAAATATTCTTATTAAAATATATCATATTTAAAATTATATCAAATTAAATATAGCAATAGGAATATTATACTAACATTAGTATCATCAAATAATTTAAAATCAAGTTATTTGATTTATATATATTCATATTATCATATTGTAAAACCAAAATCTTTAATAAAAAGTGAATAATCTTTTGAATATAATAAAAAAATAAATATGGAGAGGAAAAGAGAGGAGGGACAGTCACAAAAATCTTATTTTTCTTCCCAAACCTCTCAATATATAAAGAGAAAATTTGAAGAGCAAATGAGATGTGTGGCCCGTTTTATTTTCTCCCCCACTTTTCTACTCTGCTTGAATGGGAAGAAAAGTTGGGAGGAGAGGAATAGAGAGAAGAAAAAACTAGAGAGAAGATGTTATCATCTTCTTGCTTGGATAGATGAGAGAAAAATAGAGAGGAAAGAAAATGAGTAAATATCTAAATAGCTAAAATACAATTATCAAAATATATCATATTTAAAATTAAATCAAATTAAATATTGCAATATGAATATTATACTAACGTTAGCATCATCAAATAATTTCAAATCAAATTATTTGGTTTATATATTTTTTCATAGTATTATGTTTTAAAAGCAAATTATTTAATAAAAAATATTCTTGCAAGATAAAAAATAAAAAGTGAATAATTTTTTAAATATAATAAAAGAAAATAAATGTGAGAGGAAGAAAGAGGAGGGACAATCAAGATTTTTCCTAAATCTCTCCATATTTGGAGAGAAAATGAGATATAGAGTTTACCTTATTTTTTTCTCACTTTTTCTTCCTCCCATATTTTCTCTCCTATCTAATCCTGAAAAATATTGTGCTCATATTGAATTGGTGGATACATGTATCAATTAAATGAATTTCATTAGGATAAGAATCAATTGAATTAGAATCGATTTTGAAATAATTCATTACATTGATTATTGATATTTAGAAAACTCATTTCTTCTCATATTTTCCTCTCTAGTTTTCTTTTCTCCTTAATTTTATTTTAATCCAAGCAAGGGGTTCCTTCCTCCCATATTTTCTCTTACATCCAAGTAAGGAAAAAAACTGATTTCTCTCCATATTTTTTTTATCTAACTTTCTGTCCTCTCTAATTTTCTCTCAATCTGAATAAGAGATAACAAAAACGAACAAAAGAATTTATGAACTTACGAAAAAAGGGGATGCAATGTCGTTGATAGGCTAAAATGCTTTTAGGCCCAAGGTTTTCATGAGAGGACGAGCCCAGTTGAATGTTAACTATTAAGTAATAAAGCAATTGAAGCTCGTGGTTTGCATTGTCATATTTTCAATTTTAAGAGTTTGGCAAAAACAAGAAAAAATATTGTTAAGAGTTTAAAATTTGAAATAAAATCATTTTGCTTATTTTAAATCCTGCTTGCAGCATTATTCTGAACAATCATATATAGATCATAAAGTCTCGAAGTAGAAAATAATTTTCACATATTTATAAAAACCTAAAATCCTTTAATAGAACAACGAACAAACTAAAAGTTTCTTTAAATCATTAATTAAATGAGAAAGGTTGAATGGTTGATAACTAATTCAAATAACATAAGTTGATGACATGTCTGTACCAAAAAGAAAAAAAGTTGCTAATATGTGGAAAATTTTATTCACGTGATGATCAAATAGTACATAGCATACAAATGAAGGCAAATCACGTGAAATTCATTAAAAAAAAAAAAAAGGAAGGCAAATCACGTGAAATTCATTAAAAAAAAAAAGGAAAGACAATCATTAAAATATACACTACATTACATTCCAATCAGTGACAAGATATTTAAGAAAGCTGAAATAATAACCATAGTGGAAACATGGAAAAAAAAGATGACACAATATATCACAAGAAGCCACATTTTGTGCCTAATTCACTCTTCTTTGATCCTGATGGGCTCTTTTCCTTATCCTTTTTGCTTGTTTCTTAGGCCTCACTTGAAAAATTCTGACAAGCCCTTTAGGTTTTCCAGTTAAGAAAGCAACTTGACCCATGAATATTCCAAACACCATCCCACATCCATATCCCAAAGCCACTGGTTTCCAACCAAATCCAAATTTGTCATTACTTGATGAAGCTAGTTGTGGCAATTTCCCTTCATCATGATTACATGCTTTTGACAATTGAAATCCACACAGTCCTAAATTTCCCTCAAAAGAATATTGTGAAAATGTATCAAACTGCGTACCTCTTGGTATTTCTCCGACAAGCTGGTTCTGTGAAAGATTCAAAACTTCAAGAAAGTTGAGATTTGCTAGTGCAAGAGGAATCTCACCTTTAAGCAAATTTGATGATAAGTCCAACGATTCTAGGTTTGTCAAGTTTGCAATGGATTGAGGAATAGGACCAGTGATTTTATTGTGGGAGAGATTAAGCCCCTTAAGTGAATGCAGCTCACCAATAACATGTGGAATCTCTCCATCAAACATGTTTTTTGACAAATCAATGGATGTGAATGTAATTATGATCTTTACCAACACTAAATCAACACCTTTCAATGTGACCATCACTGATTCTTGATAATTAGGATAGCGGTTTTCCAAGTAATGTGGTCTGGCTGAAACAAAGTCAACATTCATCATTCCTTTAAATTCCTTAATGTATGTTGTTGGCAAAGATCCTTTAAAATGGTTGTTGGAAACATCAAAAATTCTTAACATGGGAAAAGCATGTTTGGTGTTGAAACTATGAATGGCACCATAGAACTCATTATCTCTTAAAATGAGTACCTGTAGCTCCGGTAAGCCTTTAAGCCAATTAGGAAATTTGTCATTGATCTTGTTTGCTCCCACATCTAAAATTTCTAATTCAATGCAATGGGTCAAAGACAAAGGCAATTGTCCTTGAAATTGATTGTTGTTCAAATGCAAAGATTGCAAAGAATTGCCCTTAGAAAAATTGTCTGGTATAGATCCGACAAAATTATTCATCTGCAGATCTAAACTTTCAAGATTTGGTAAAGCAACAAGGCACTTTGGGATGTGGCCTGACAAGTTGTTGTGAGATAAGTTGAGTATCTCAAGTGAGCTTGCATTGCAAAATGAGGAAGAAATGTGTCCACTGAATTTGTTGTTGGACAATGAAAGGAATTCAACACCAAAGGATGGAATTGGGAGATTTCCTTGCAACAAGTTGAAGCTGAGATCAATCCAATTCAAGTTTCTCATTGAAAGATGTTCAATTGATGTCAAGTTGTTATGAGAGAGAGCCAATGCCAAAGAACCATCCCCCACATTATTAAACCATTGGGGAATATCTCCATGAATTTTGTTATTGGAAAGATCTAAGAACATCGAATTTTGAAGGTTTATTAATAGTTTAGGAAAGTCAGTGATGTTGCAAGAGGATAAATCTAAGACTGCAAGATTGGAAATGGTATAGTGAACATCATTATTAGAGCTAAGTGAGAGAAACTTGTTGTTTGAAAGATCAAGATATCTTAGATTTTGAAGCTTTGAGAATTGATGAAGACTAATAGGGTCTCTCAAATTATTTGATGACAAATTTAGAAAAGAAAGATTTAGGAAACCAAAAATTGACTCAGGAAGACCTTGCAACTTATTATCATCAAGATATAAACGCTGCAAATTTGGAAAAATTGACTCAGGAAGACCTTGCAACTTATTATCATCAAGATATAAACGCTGCAAATTTGGAAGGCCTATGAATTTTGGAAAGATAGTGATATTACAAGAATCTAAATATAAGATCCTAAGATTGGGAATGGTGTAGTTAAGATTATTATCAGAGGCAAGTGAGAGAAACTTGTTGCTTGAAAGATCAAGATATTCTAGTTTCTGAAGCTTGGAAAATAGGAAAAACTTAACAGAGCCACTCAAGTTATTTGACGATAATCCCAAAAAAGAAAGATTTATGAGGGTAAAAATTGACTCAGGAAAATTACCTTGTAGCTTGTTGTCAGAAAAATCAAAAGATTCCAAATTTGAAAGATTTTCAAACACATCTGGCAACAAACCACTAAAATAATTGCCACTGAGGTCCAATGAACTGAGACTTGGCATATTTGAAAGAAATGAGAGCTCACCACTAAAACTGTTAGATGCAAGGTCCAAATAAGTTAATCGAGTGAGGTTCTCAACACTTAGAGGAATAGGCCCATCAAATTGGCTCTCTCGAAGACTCAAAAAATTGAGAGACTTTAAAAGGCCTATGGAATATGGAAGTTGTCCTGTGAGATGTTCATTCCTCGACAAATCTAACTTTTGAAGATTTTGTAAATGGAAAAAATTATTAGCTAAATTTCCCTGCAAAAAAGTAGCTGAAAGGCTAAGACAAACCAGAGAGGATGAAAAATTCAGGAGTAAAGACAAGGAGGTTGGTGCAATGGAAGACATATCTACAATATCTAAAACAAGTTCTCTTAGATCAGTCATGTTTAGAACAAGCTTCTCCCATGTGGATGGTTCAAGTCTTAAAGTCAAGCTTTCAATTGAGAAAATTCCATTCATAGACAAATCAAGAGAGACTAATTTAGACAGTTCTGCAATTTTAGGAGAAAGTTCACCAATAAAACCAGAATTGCTTAAGTTTAGATATATGAGAGTGGAAAGATCACCAAACTGAGATGATATCACAGACCCACTAAAATCGTTGTAAGCCAAGTTGAGTGTTTGGAGATGAGAAAGGTGGAAGAGGCTACTGTTTGGATGGAGTTGACCTTGGAGCCAACTACAGCTAAGGTCAAGGCCAATCACATCACCAGACATGGAGTCACACGTGATCCCATCCCACAAGCAGCAGTTTGAATCATTTCCCCATGAAGCTGTCTTTGGAGTATAGGCGTAGCCATCATCATCATGAAACTTATCACACTCCATTGAAGCAGAATGATCAAGAGAGAGAGAGAGTTTTTAAAATGAAGAAGCGCAATGGAATCATGAGAATTACATAATGGGGGGTTGAGAGAAGAAGAAAGGGAAGGAGAAAGAAGGAACAGGTAGAAACAGATAATGATGATTCGAAATGCCATAACAAAAATTGGAAGGCTGTGAGTATGAAGGAGTGAAGGATATTGTATGTACCAGATGAGGCTTCTTTTATAGGCAGAACTATGCATGATAAAAAGTTTGCCATGATAGTTGCTCGCTCAAGTCACTTTCTTCTTCCGAATAGGATTGAGGAATTGGTGGGAAACTAAAATATAATCAGAATTGGGAAAAAAAAACCTAGCATGAATTGTTGTCGCCATTAGAAACTGGTTTGCTTCAGTATATAGAACATGGGCTTGTAAAATACACAAATTAATTTTAGTGCACTGTGTATTTAATTCTTATAATTCCTAATTGTAAATAGAATTATAAGCCTTTTAATCTACCATGACAGAATTATAAGTCAAGGTTTTGATTTCTATCATTTAACGCATAGCACATAGATTCAGTGACGTGTTGGCCATGACAAATAGATTTGCTAATGACATCACTGTAGCACTTACGCATAATAGAATATTTCTTTGCATTATGGCTTTGATATAGAACAATATTCCCATGGTAAAGGCCTGTACTTGCAAGTCATTGAAAAAAAACAATAAAAAGTAATAAAATATATTATTTAATGACACAAATAATTAATGGTACTGTCATGGTGAATGAATATGAAATATTAAAAATAAAAGAAAATTGTTTGCACACGATTTTAATTTTAGAGAAGGCTTACGTATATCTTTTAAACGGAATGGAAATATTTATAATTAAGGAAAATAAAAATACGTATATCTTTTAAACGGAATGGAAATATCTATAATTAAGAAAAATAAAAATAAGTTCATTATATATATCGAGAGGGTGTATAGTTTTGAGCATGCTCAAGTGGCTACACAAAAAAAAAAGTTATGTTTCCTTTGACATTTAAAAAAAAACAACGAAAGACTTATTAAGATAATTAATAAAAAAACCTATTTTACATTTTACGACACAATATTCTTCTCATATACTTATTTTGTAAATATAAAATCACTTACAATAAATTAATTCAAACATTCATTTAGACTTAAATGAAAGACTTAGAAATGGCTAAACAAATGGTCCTGGCAAGATGCCAAGCGTGATTTACTCAATGTCGAATAAATTTCTCTGAAAATTTGTGGTGAAAATATTTTGAAAATTAGGGTTCATATATCATTTAATAATCATTAAAATAGTCAAGAAATATGGAATTTTGTGAGGCCGGTCAATTTTCAATTTGATAATTATTTTATACTAAAATAAAAAAAGTTTCAGTTAAGAACTTGAATAAAGTGAAATATGAGAGACCTGTAACATACTCTTTAGAAAAAGTAATTAAATTTCAAAATTAGTACCCTCATTCTTAATATAAAACCCAGTTACATAATTACATGTTAAATGATATTTTAAAAATATTTATGTATATCATTAGATTATTATTAACTTATAAAAATAACAAATAGTTTGAAGAGAGACAAAATATAAATACATTAAGGTAATTTATTAACTTTCTTCATCTCCTCAAATAAATTAATTAGATCTTATATTAAGGATCAAAGGTATTATTTGAATACAAGGAATGTGAGAGAAATATAAGAGATTACCATAGTATCAAAAAAAAAATTTTTGGTATTATTTGAATGCCGTGCTAAAAGGTTTGGAAGTGAGAAACTTCAAAATGGTGATTCGTTGTCCAGCTGCCATTAATTTATTTTTGTCCCAAAATTTTGATTTTGATCGTGCGCGCACACAGAAATAGTATACCATATGTTTGATATTATAAATTAAAAGGGAAAATGAAAAAATAATTTTGTTTGATAAAATTTAATGCTTAGGCGCCTATTTAGAAAAAATCATTTAAAACAATGAAAAATAGGGAATAATGATTATATCAATATATAATAAATATGTGCCCTAAGTAAAAAGTTTTCAGTCATGGATTCTTGTTCCATAAGCGTGCCAAACGGGAAAGAAGACTTGCGCTTTTTTTTTTGGGCAAAGAAGACTCGCCCTTTCGTGACGTGATTGAAATGAAAAAAAATAATCAAGAAACCCCACAGCCAAGTAAAGTGTTAACAAATAAAAACAATATTAAATTATCTTATTCACTCCTCTCAGTTGCTTTCTCATGAACCAATTTCGGTACTCATCTTAATAAGTATTTAAACTCATCAGATCTAAACTATTCATATTTATTTGGATAGTCAAAACTTGATTTCTTTTTACTTTTTTAGTTCAAAATAATATTTTAATATGAATGAAATCTAAATAAAGATAACCTTTTAACTATTATTTTTCAAAAAAATATTTTTTCTATTTAAAATAATTAATTAAAGATTTAAACCTGAACTGTTTAAATTAAATATAACTGTTCAAATTTGATGAGTTTAGAATACTTATTAAAATAAAACTGATTCGTGCTTCCTAAACCCTCACTAACACTTTATCATCAGTTGTACTTGAATGGTTCTAATTTCAATGTCCCTCAAACCGTTAAACAAGTTGTGAATTTTTTGTTATTGGCTAGCTATCCATATGGTGACAGAGAAAGCAAGACTTCTCTTCTCCCTCGAATGTACATTACAATACACGTTACAAAATAATAACCATACAAGTATGTGAAAAAAAATCCTCCATTAAAAATTTTATTTGTGTGAAAAATATAATAAATTTTTATACACAAAATGTACCGATATTTTACTTTGCAAATTCCGTACATACAAGATACCGGTACTTTTATTTAAGTCTTTTTTACTAATAAAATTTTCAATTAGAGACTTTGACCCAATTTTACAAAGCAAGCATCGATGTATTTGATATTAAAAATGAGGGGGGAAATTAAAAAATAATAATTTTTCTTGATAAGATTTAATGTTTATGCCCCTATTTATTTAAAAAAAAATTGAAACAATGAGAAATGGGGAATAATGATTGTATCACTATAATAAACCCTACAAAGTTGTCATTTACAGATTAGTTTTCTATTAGCGTCCAAACGGGGCAGAAGACTTGACTTTGCCAATTAATATGTGAAATGAAAATGAAACAAAGAAAATAAATTTAGAGCCAAATAAATTCTTAGAAAATGAAATATAAATTATCTTCTTGACCCATTTGAGTTGACTCCTTATGACACAAATTCTACTCTTCAATATGTGGGTTGACCCGATGCCGCAAGGATTGGAAGCGGGGCATCTTCACTTAATTTCTCTCTTCACTTAACATGTGGCCTTTATTCAGTAAAAATGTTATTATGATATTAAATATTAAACAACAAAATAGATAGATAAATTATAGTATTAAATTGATGTGAATAGTATGAAATGCTAGAT